GGCACAACCAAGAGATTTTCACCTAACCGGTCTAGAAAAACTGCAAATAACTTGTGCCAAATGCATCAGTCTGAAGGGTGAAAATTTTGAATAAGTGCATCATTACATGATTATAGCTCCTTTTTCTCTGATCAAAATCACGAACTCATCAGCACCTCCTCGTAAACGTTTCTTCTCCTAGCACTAAGCTCACACCAGAACTTACCTCGTAAGTCCATTATTTACAGTCAGCTCCCAAACAAAAATACAAGATTGCCAATTTGTGGAACCATCATATATCATTTAATCGAATAGGGTCATAGCACCAACCCATGGAAAAAGCTTGGTCATGTCCAAGTGGCTGATTCACTCCTTCGAGTCGGAAGTACAGTATAATCTGTAAAGAATGTGATGCCAGTTTGGACAGTACAGAGTGTTTGCAAGATGTACAATGTCCCTTGTAAATGCCTATGTCCAAGAAATCAAAACACTGAGGCAATACCGTCCAAGCAATATTAAATTTCATGTGAGGAAACAGCAGATCACTTCTTGCGCAGCCAACACAACATTATTGATCGTATCCAATAGAAAGATATGCTGATTAAGCCGGATAGTGTAACACTGAGACGATCTATCCTCAGAGTGTCACCGAGACGGTCGAAAGATCAGAAACCACCAAGTGGGTCAAGCACAGCTATCAACGTGGACCGCGACAACGCACAGCTATGAGTGTTAACATCCAGTAACTCTACCTCACGTTTGAACTCAATGCCTACTGTACAACAGCCGAACGTAATAGACACCAGTAATCCTCAGTGCGGATTCATCGCTCCGAATTCATTCGGCTTAGTAACCACACAGCATATTGAAGAAAACGAACAACTGATCAATAAGAGATAAATAAAGATACAGGAAACCAGTTACAAACGCCGAGGTCCCCCGGATTTGCAAGCTGATGTCGTCAACACAAAACTGCCGTCCGATGACTGTGCTGCCAACTCAACGACTGGTACTTGCACGAAATAAGTAGCCATGAGAAGATCGAAAGTGTTGAAAGCTCCGAGCCTAATAGAACCCAGAACAACTGCCTTCTGGCTACCCCAGTCTACCAAGCTTAAGCATATCAGCCCGCTTCTTAGCTCTCAATCTTTGACAACCCCAGACAAAGAAATAAAAATGGAAAAAAGATTGAAACTTTGATAGCACCGCACGATTTACATCCGGAAAAATTTCTCTGCATATTATCAAGTGCGTACTGCAGATCTGTAGATAGCATCATGAACATCTGGTATAGTTGGGATAGCAAAATCGCCAAAAGACATACATTGATACACAAACAGACAATCACTCACACACTTGTTCCTTTGTCAGCTGGCTTATTACCACGACAGAGCCAATGTGACAAACGCGTCCTTTTGTAAAGATAGGGTGCGACCCAGTTCATTGATGGCCACCGCTTCGCCACATCGTGAAACGTGGGTATTATTTTAAGATCACCCGGAATATGCGCGCATTGAATCCTTGATAATACCACCTAACCTCACAGCCACAGAGCCTATCACGTCAGAACTTTACTATGACCCTTTCTCAGCGTAAGCGGGAGTGGTTTCGAATTCATTCCCACCCCTGACACACCCAACAGATGCAAGCAATTTGGCCCAATTCATATGAAACGGCTAGCTCCATACCAAAATGCAAACCTGGAGTCGAGATCTCAATCACTTCCGCCCGCCGGGCTTACTAGCGCGCACAATGCCATTACACCTAAGCATGCCATTGATGGCCTTGTTTCCAGCCAGTTCTTGATTAACGACTGTAGCTCTCATTTTTGATTCCCATCAGGTTTCATTCTTCTTAATTAGTGCGATATTCACAAACAACAAATTGAGATTTCTAAGGGTGCCTACTCGGTTAAAAGCCCCACCTGTAATCTTCCTCACTGAAGCATAGTGCTCCTGTGATACGTTCAATTCTAATTTAGATATTCCCAACTACCACCTCTTTCAAAAGAACTACAGCACCAAGAATGAAGACGGATGCACCGTGTATCTCATTTTAGAAGCTACAGTAGAGTTGCTTGACGATCCACAAAGTCCCTGCATCTCTATGGCCATCAGCCGTTGCAGCCCCATCCACGAAACTAGGCGTTTTATTTCTCATCGGTATTACCACACGGACTAAACATAACTGAGGGTGACTACAACTTAACAAAAATCACTTGATCATCACAACCATCCTCATCATTGCATAGATACTTTTTGTCCACCACAAAACCAATGGATGAACTCAGTGAATCGCTAGACCAACTAGGTCGGTGAACGCAATGGGTTTACTGTTAACGCTGAGGATTCCGGACGCATAAATCATCATGTTAGACAAATTCACTGTTAGTGACCACAAGATGCTGTGGCTTACCTCCTACATGGAAAAGAATAGCGAAACCTACTCAGCTACCCAATACACTATCCAAAGGATTGACTGGGAATATTTCCAACAGCTAATCCAGATTTGGAACCGGAATGCTATTTTACTCAAACAGCGTCTCTTATTGCAGTGGAACATTGCTACGACCCGAATCATCGTATCATGACCACACTTATCTCATAAGATAAATATGTTTTTATGGACCTGAGTTTAAGTGAATCACAAATGAGCCGAAAACAAAAAAATCATTAAGAGATTTAAAAACACTAAAGGTTTTTCATTAATGTATTATTGGCACGAATCTATTGCCTGTAGCAAACGCTCACAAGTGATGAGGATTAAAAAGGAGGAGGCGAACGCCAAACGGATGGTATGCAAAAGAAAAGAACGAACAAAATTAGTCCGACGATGAACAAACCAAAAGAGGTCTCCGATCACAGGAATGATTGATGAAGAGGGTAGCCACGTTAAAGGCTCACCCACTATTTGTGAAATGTTTACTAATTTTTCCTCCATAAATCTAGGAAAACACAATACATACCTTCCCGGAAAATACCGTAACAAGCGTCGAACAAAAAGCTGAGACTACTAGCTCGAATACATAGCAGCCTGTGAAGTCGACCAAACCATCGCTTAAGTTGGATTCCGACAGTACACACCCATTCGCAATCTACGTCTTCTGATTTTTATGCTTGAAATCATAAAGGGAAATGCTTAATTCAAATTTGGAAGACCTGATATATCGCTGCTTTTGTTCAACCTGTTCACGTTGTCATTAGGATGCAGCCTATTTCCGGATTATTGGAAAACGTACGTCGCTAATTAGTGACCCATGCATCATAAACCTATAACTGCCAGCCTGCTCGAAAAACGAATTAAAAGTGGAATTATGAGCTCTATCAACAGTGTTGGTCTGCCCAGCAAATCCCAACGTGGATTGCTTGACAAACGCTCCTGCATAACTTGTAAATTACACTATGTAGATAACGGAATCTGTGGACCCCAGCAATGTAGTTATAATTGTATTCCTGGATAAATAAAAGCATTCGACCGGGTGACGCATGAGCGGCTTTCAAAAGAAAACCAGTTCTTTGGGATCAGAAACCCACTACTGGGTAGACTAACCTCGTACCTGAGTAGGCGTTCCTCATACTGCTTCTTGATATACCTATTGAGTGAATGAATTGCGACACGCAGCCAAAATGTGGACATGGAGTTACTATGAAGTGAACTCCGGTCAGTCCAATACATACAACCGTAGCTGAAACAGGTAGATGTACTAATACAGGCAGTTTATCTCAGCGAAGTGGCATATGATCGAACAAGAAGTAGGGGATTTGTCTGTACGCAGCACCAACCTACTAACCAGCTGCAAAGGAGATGAGATTATGTCTCAGAGGATAAAATGCCCACATTAAATCCACATAAACCACAACAAAGATGCCTTCATAAATAACAATAGCGGTTTAGTTGAGAGTAACGTTACTGAAGGCCTCGTTGCCCTATGTTAGCAATGTCAAGCACATATACAGGGTTTCAGTGGTAAAAAGTTACTAACTCCCATGGCCTGTTGAATCGAAGAGAACAGTGGAAGAGTGACTCACAGTTTGGTCTAGTTGATTGCTGCTTACGCAGAGACGTTTACTAGGTATGGCCGGCACATTCGCCAGTAGACCAATTTGGAATGTCGCAGATTGCGAGGGTTGTACTATCGAACAATGGACCTTTCCAGTAAGGCCAGTAATACCTTTCCGGCGTTTCCAAGAGAAAGGCCGAGGAGCACATAAAGTGAAAACATTTTGCGTGAATAATAGATTTACACAGAGTTACCGACTAGTTTAAAATTGTAAACACTGTTATGGTTGGTGGGGTCACCTAGAGCTTTCTGCCAGTAAGCAAGGTTTCTTCTTTAACAGTAACGCGTAAAGACTGATTGAAGACTATGTCTGGTTATCATATGTAGTCTGGATGTGGGTCCCGGAATTACCCTTCCTTGAGATGTAAACACCAGAGCTGAAACCACGCACGTAAAGGTCAGCGACGCTCATGAACTTTACCAGATGTTTATTAAAAAGCCAGCAGTTTTCAGTATAGATTTAGCTGTTTGGCCAATAGTAGTATGCTACGATGGGTGAGTGTTTGGCGATTGTCGAGTAGCACTAATGCAAGCAGCTCTGAGATCCATGCCGTTTAGTTTGACCAACGTCATTTCAACTGCATATTTGCTCTAAGCGCATGACCACTCGACCAGGCAACATGGGGTGGGGGGGGGTGGAGCGTTAGTCTAATAAAACGAAAATACGACAAATGGATGGCTTGCAGATGAAGCATGTAACAACGTCGAATGAGTTGGGTGACAGTGCGGTGATGACATAGCCTAGTACATTAGACTAAGACGAACAGAATGTATGGAATCATAATCCGGATTGTAAAGAACCAACAAAAATTAGATAGTTATGTTCGAATAAGTTGCAAAAACACGAGGAACGTAGGAATCTGTTGCAAAAGGTGCTTTGCAGTAGCTATCGACTAGTTCGTAAACAGAATTTCCTTGCCAATTTATGACGGAAAGGGGGAAAGACGTGAGATGAACTTACCGATTACTCGCAATTGTTTTTCAATGTGTGTGACTTGATGGTGTAAACCGCCGGGAACGCAGTTTCCAAGTGCTCGAGCACAAGTAAACGTAAGCTGCAGCAGAGGAATAAAACTCGTGCAAAACTCTCTCGACTGCAAGACGGGAAGAAAATGGGGGAATTTGTTCTGTGGATCTAATGACATGGGTGAAGCCGCGGATAGACATTGCTGAATGAAGTTTGAGGTCGCGGAAGCACAAGCAATGTCGCGTAACGATACACAGCATTCGGACAAGAAAAACGGCTTTGGAAAATTCCACGTGCTCTCGCAATCTGAGTGGCAGGCAACACGTTGGGAGATGGGAGACTCCGGCTTCAGGTACTGAGGCCGTTCACTTGAAGTAGCCGGGGGCAGGTTCACCGCAGCTAGGTTCAGCAGACGATGCTTATGTTTTACCATATCTGTAAAGAGAAAGGGCAGAGAGGATAATTTCTTCTTCGCACAGACTGAAAAGTAGCTGCAATCTTAAACGAAGGTCAACTGAAAGTTTCTGCGGTAGAATTTATCAACAAATACAACATATTAAGAAGTTAGTCAGTATCAGCGTAAGAAAACGGTGCTTATGAAGCTTTCTTTTCATAAAATCTGGTGAAATGGATTTAATGCTGATCAGATAAAAGTGCAATTCTACCAGACAACGATGAAGTCATATTAGGCCTGTTAAAGAAACGATCTCTGCGAAGATGAAGTTCGAAGGGTAACACCGCACCGCAGTTAAAATAGACAAAGGTAAGCTGAACGAGTAAGGATAAAGCGAGCACTGGGAACGCAAAAAGAACGCCGATTCCCTCACATACGGATATCCAAGTCAAAACAAGTATCAGCAATTTTGTCTGTAGTAAAAGATTAAACCAATGCAGAAGTGTTTACTGCGTATGGGAAGCGTAGGACAGTCTGAGAAAATGGAGAATCGCAAACAAGCAATCAATGGGGAACGCTCAAGCAGAAGAGATAAAACGTTACAGTGACATCCACAAAACAGCTGCCTATATATTTTACTGTAATTAAATCGAAGAGACAGTGTTTATCGGTAAACAGAGGAACTGGATGTACGAAACAAACAACAAGAAGGATATTGCGACGGAAGTTCAAGTTCAAATGGGACTGGAACAACATATCCTATAAGATTATTCCGTGGGTGTTCCTTCTTCAATGGACCGTTAAACCAGGAGTTGACGAAGGACTTTGAAATACTGATGGACCTAGAACAAAGACTGCATCACACCCGGTCGAACCAATTACTGTCTCCGTATCCTGCACTAGCAGTCCCTGCTGAGTCGGTTGCGTGAAGTACGGAAGAGGAAACAGTGAAGTCAGAAGTCAAGAAAATAGAAAAAGAGCTAAACAGGTATAATATTAAGACATGTATGTATGAAATGAACTGAAAGCTGAAGATGAGTTAGTCAGGAAAAAGGAAAGGTTTGGTATTGCCTACCATCAGCCTCGAGCTGACGCGCAAAACACGTAACCGTAGGTTCTCTAACCACATGATCTGGAAGCGAATTAAAGCGCTCTATAACTCGACGCGACAGACGAGTTTCCGCCCTAACTCGATCATACCGCAACTTGTGCAGCTTCAATGTGTGACCGCGAAAATTAGGTAACTTAGCGGGACTAAGTGGCCAATACAAGTCCGGGCCGAACTTACCCATCAAAATACGATAAGTGAGAATCAAGTCCCCTCTTATCTTTCGGTAGTGCATTGAGTACATCCCCAAACTAAGCAAGTGTTCGGGATACGTCTGTCCCGTTGACTCTGTAATAACATAGTACCCACTCGTAAAAATCTGTATAAGTTCATTTTCTCTCGGATAAGACATGGTGGACAAGCCTGGATACAGCATTCCAAATGCAGTTGCACGAATGCCGACAGTAACTTCCAGAAAATATCGGTCGTTAAAATTTCGAAGGAGCGGCAGATAACCCACATCACACGGAACATTCTACAAGTAGTCTTCTTCCAATTGTCACCAGAGTGAAGAGCTGATCAGTGGAGGACACCTAAATCAACCTGCTGAGTGACAACAGGGATTTCACCACCACCGACAACATATCGTGTGAGAGAACTATCAGCTCCCATTCGGAGAACAGAACACTTGACCCGATTTATGGGCATCTCGTGGTGCCAGCTGGGCGGTTCGGGTATCATGCGTTCCGGCGAATGGTTCGGCGACAGTATTTCAGGACGTGGTGGGTTTACGCTTGACAAGCGTTCTCCCTAAAAAAAAGCCACATATGTCCGTTTAACAACACTGTGACGTGGCGGATGTGACTCGCCACTAAATAAAGTCACTGCCCCTTGTCTTCTCGGAAACAATGTACATCGGCATGCAATCCAAGCACTGTATTCTGCGTTTGACTTCGGGAGTGTTGGGCCCCTGGTATGCCTTTTCGTCATCCGAAAGGCGTATGAATTGAATGTACAGTCACCGGCTCCCAACGGGTGCGGAACTCTTATTTCGCCCTGTTGCCTTGTGGGTTGGGCCTTTCGGTCACAGGCTCGGGGTTGTGGCCCCTAAGACAACCCACCTACTTCAGCCTACGTAACCGCGTAGTATCTCGCCCACTGATGGACCATGGATACACACAACTGTGCTCTCCCACGTTCTCATGATCCACTGTCAAACGACTACGCCAACACACGCCACCAAGTTACATACTCTTTCCTTGTATCACTCCTCCCCATTGTTACCCGATTCTTCAACTATGAACAACCCTACCTCCGCCAGTGAAGCTGTTTTCTCGCCATCCGTCAACCACAGAACATAGCGCAGGGTCGTTAAAAAAAGCTAGGGTAAAAACCTAACCAGTGCTATCATGGAACATTTGATCCTGAGTGGACGTCAAATTCGAACAACGGATGCGTTTAAGGTCTTCTAGTTCGTGTCACCACGTTATCCGAAGAATCTCAGAGGGCATCACTTGAAGACTGCCCCAGCCCGAGTTGAGCAAGCAGAGAGCACTTATGCAAGTGCTTCTCCTGTCCTGGCCACGCGGCAGTTAGTCGGTGTCGAACACTAACGGATTACTATCGGTAGCGAGGCCTACCCAAGTCGGCTTACAATCGGCTGCAAGGCATAGGCTAAATGAATCGGCCTGACTCCGTCCAAACTCTTGGCTTAGCTGTCCTCAGCGTAGCTGACAGTAGTTTACCGTTGTATGTTATTTGCTTAGTACTGCAACGGCCTGATGAAAATAATCGAAAAGAGATCTCTTCGCTATTTGGACTCCTGATAAGCACCGATGGAAATACAACGTTCTTTCCATAGGAACCGTGAAAAAGGATAGTTAGAGAAGGCGATGGCTGCACGCCTGTGAGATGTGGAATGCATGGCCACAGCGGGAGACCTGTGGCACCACATTCGTGACCAGGTGACAACTGCTGCCGAGGAGACCATCAGGCGCGCAGTGTAAGCGGCCCGATTGATTTGATGAGAACAATGCGACGATTGGCGCATTGGTGTCGGTGAAGAATGCAGCATTTACTGCACATGTAGCAAACCCCGGTGACTTGAGGAAGAAAAATCAGTTTCGTAAACTTCGATTGCAACTCACCCGAGAGTTCCGCCGCAATATAAATGCATGGTGGACGGAGAAAGCGAAGCAGATGGAATGCTACGCCGAACGCCGTCAACACAAGGAATTCTTTGACTACTTGAAGGCGGTGTATGGACCGGGATTGGACCCGCTAAGAAAGCTAATAGACGGTAGTTCAGGCGCTACCTGCACACAGACTGCAGACATAATGCGGATCTGGCAAAACGTTTTGACTGTCTCTTGAACAACCGTTCAGAGATCGATTGGCTTACCTTTAACGGCCTGAAACAGCACGATGTGAAGGCGAATCTGGCGGGCACGCCGACACTCGATGAGGCGCAAAGTGCGCTTGTTCAGCTTCGAAACGCCGTGTGCCGGTGCTGACTTGATCCCGCCTGAAATATTGAAACACGGCGGACCCGCGTAGTTGACTGCGCTGCACCGCTTGGCACAACGCGCGTGCATTGAAGAGGGGGTGCCTCTTGAGCTGAAGGATGCCCTTGTGCTACCACTGTACAACGGCAAAGGAAGAAAGCAATGTGCCACCAATTATCATGGTATCAACTTGCTGAGCTGTGTGGGCAAGGAGATTGCCGGATTACTGCTCAACCGTCTCGTCAGCCAGGTTTTGGAACAGAACGTAGCGAAAGAGCAGTGTGGATTCCGTTCGGGTCGCCGCACCAGATATGGTGTTTACGTCTCGTCAGTTGCAGGAGAAGTGCAGAGAACGAGACCACCCGTTATACTCGCTTTTTGTTCAATTCAGCAAATCATTGGATACAACGAACCGTGAGACATTGTGTCTGGTGTTGGGTATGTTTGGTTGTCTACGTAAGTTTGTAATTTTAATTGAATGTCTGCATAGTGGTATGCGGGCGATGGTGCAGCTGAGTGGGCAGACTTCGGATGACTTTGTGGTTGTCTGTGCTGTGAAGCAAGGCTGCCCAGGTTAAGGTTTATCCTCTTGTCATGATGTCGAGTGCATCTGATGTGACATGTGGTTATGCTGGTCGCGCGGAGCACCGTATTGATGGTCGGCTGCTGATCATACGTCGTTTCAGTGCGAGAACCTTAGTCTGTAAGACAACTACACATATCTTGCTGTTCGCTGCAATGAGACTGGATCTTACCGTGGTGCCATAGTTTGTGTGACTCAGCGATGCATTGAGCTATACTGCATGGTGCATTTTTGCACCTTCAGAGCCACTCATACCAGATTGGTCAATGGTTAGAGGCCAGACAAACTCAGCCTCCTGGTTGGGGGTTGGAATGAGGGTGGCTCCTTATTCCTTAAAACGGACTCCCTGTAGCCCAGTGCCAAACCCGCTGCCTTGCGGCCAGGTTTTTGAACCAAAGGCTTTGGTTGAGAACCTTAATCGTTCTCCTGTCTAGGCCTGGGCAACCTGACAGTATCCTGCCCACGCAATACTATGAATCTCACTTCAAACAAATTTCTGATGCTCTGGCCACCGCAGAGGATAATCAACGGTGCCATGTCTGCTGCATCGGGCAGGGTGGATAGGGGTTTGGATGCTACTGCTCAAGCCTTCCCGTCTTCTTATTCCCCCTCTTGCGCTTTTTCACCATTATCGTCCCGTTTCAGCTTCACTTTTATCCCCCCTGTTTTTAACCCACCAAATCTAGGCGCTCCCCCACCTTGCTTCAATAGTCGCTTGTCTTTTAGTTTCAACTCACATGTGAACGCGCAGCGTCATTCCTGCACTGTCAACAGGCCCATGTCCAAGCAAGCGGCACATTCTAGTTCATCGGCTTCCATTTGGAGCCCTCGATCCTCCTTCAGATTGGCATGCCTCAATGTTCGCACATTCCTTCACATCGGTCAACAGGCAGCACTTGCCCGAAG